CATTAAAAGTAACAAAGTGATGCTAAGCCCATATCAAATCTTAGTTAGACCACACAGAGAGTACTGTGAGTAGTTCTGAGCACCATATTATGAAAGGGCATAGCAAAGGGGAATCAGAGAAGATTTACAAGGATGATGCCAGAAATGTGTAGGTTTATACTTCAGGAAAGGATTTTAATCCTGAAGAAAAGGCTGAGGGATGACCTAAGAAAGGTCTTTTAATGTTCTGAAAAGTTTTGATGAGAGGACATTTCTTGTTTTGGGAAAGAGCATCACTAGAGGTCATCAATAAGATAGTCAACAAGAAATCAAATCAGGAAATCCTGAAGGAACCTGTCTACCCAGAGAGTGGTGAGAATTTGGAAGTCACCACCACAGGGAATTTTGATGGACCAAATAGTACAGGTGCATTTAAGTGGAAGTTAAAAGAGCGAATCACATTGACATATATAAGATGCTAAAGGGGATTGACAAGGTAGACGTAATGTAGGAGGGGTCATTGTTTTAGGATAAGGGGTAGCAGATTTAAAACAGAGATGAGGAGAAATTATTTCTCTCAAAGGGTTGTGAATCTGTGGAATTTATTACACCGTAATGCTGTGGCTTTGATTTGTTTTATTGTTGTCACAAGTACTGAGACACAGTAAAAAGTGTCGTTTTGCTTGCTCTACAGGCAGGTTGTACCATACAAAGTGCATAAGGGTAGCAGCACAGAGTGTGAAATACAGTGTTACAGGCACAGAGAAGTTGCAGGAGACAGAGGGAGAGAGAGATCAGAATTAACATTTGAGAGGTCCATTCAAAAGTCTGATTACAGCAGGGAAGAAGCCGTTCTTGAATATGTTCATATGTCTTTTCAAACTTTTATATCATCTGCTCAATGGAAGAGGGTGGAAGAGAGTATAACTGGGGTGGGAGGGGTCTTTGATTATGTTGGTTGCTTTCCCAAGGCAATGGGAAGTATAGATGGAGTCAAAGCTGGGACATTGAGTAAATTTAAAGATGAGATTGACAGATTTTTATTAGTAATAGGTTGAAGGCTTATGGACAGATTGCAGCTAAATGGAGTTGAGGCCAAAATAGGATTGACCATTATCGTATTAAATGGCAGAGCAGGTTTGAGAGGCCAATTCTCTACTCCAGAAAACGAGGTCCAGCTCCTCGTTTATATTATACTCCCTTTCCCAGATCTTTTCCAACTCATGAAACCTACCATATCCCTCTGTAGTGTCCTATATTATCTTCACAATTTACTTTTCTAACAATCTTTCCGGCATCAGCAAATGTAGCTACCATACCATCACTTCGTGCATCAAAGTCGTAAAAGTTGAGGCCCCACTGATCCCTGTGGCCCATTACTTGTTACAGCTTGCTGACCGTAAAACAACCCCTCTACACCTATTCTTTGTTTCCAACCGATAGTCTATCCATACCAATATGTTATTTCCCACAACATGAGCTTTCATTTTCTGCAATAATCTTTGATGTGATGCCTTAATCAAATACTTCCTGGGAATCTACGTACAGTACATCGACCAGTTCTCCTTATATCTACAATACGTTACTTAAGCAAAGAACTCCAAAATCAGTTAAACATAATTTGTCCTTCAAAAAGATCTGTTGATTTGGCTTGATTACTTTGAAGTTTTTTAAGTAGCTTGTGGTAACTTCTTCAATAAATGCTGTAACTGACCTGCTCTTTACTGCTTTCCCTTCCTTTTTGAATGAAAGAGCTAAATTTGCTATTTTCCAGTCTAATGGATTGCCCCCAAATTAATAATAGAAAATTAAAACCAATGCATCTCATTTCATAAGACCATAGAAATAGGAACAGGAAATAGCCTAATAAAAACCAAAAGAACTGCAGCTGCTATAAATCAGGAACTCAATTACAACTCAACATAGTAATGGGCATAAATGGAAATCCACCCATCAAAATGGCTGACTGTACCATACATAAATGGTGATGTTAGTTTCTCGTGACAGACTATTCCAGCTAGAATGTGTATGTGCAGGCGTGATTGACATCACTACATTCCAAGCATAGTACATCAGCAGCTGTGCAAATGGTCCTACTGAGGCCACATTTCTGGAGTGGCCTGAGACTGAGAATCCCAGAGCAGGGGCAAAGGCCAGGAGCTCAAACTTTTGAGATACATTACCCTTCCAAGATAATCTGAGGTAGACTGGGCTATTTTCAGATAGCTAAATCCAGAATTCAAAATTGACTTTCCTCTGCCTGTTCATGACTTGCATGATATTCAGCAAGGAGTATTTGGGCAACGGGTGAGTTTTTTTGTTTGCTGTTTCACATTGCTGCTAAGCAGTAACAACATAAGCGATCTTCACCACTAACTGGATGCTGCTGTAAATCCAACCACTACTGTCTGTCAAAGAATTAATAATGTGATTTATGATATAAGAATTTCTGTAAACAGAAAAAGAAACTCTGGATGCTGGAAATCAGAAACAAAAACCAAAGAGCTGAGGATGCCAGGAATCAGAAACAAACACAGAGATTGCTGGAAAAACTCAGCAAGTCCGGCAGAATCTGTCGAGAGAAAGCAAAGTTAACGTTTCAAATCCAGTGACCCTTCAAACATTAACTCATCAAATGTTAATCCCAAGCATGTAAAGAATTACATCAACAACCAATTCAGGGTTGTCAGTCAGTGTATCAGTATGGTGCAAAAATAAAGTTGCTGGAAAAGCTCAACAGGTCTGGTAGCATTTGTGAAGGAAAAACAGAGTTAACGTTTCGGGTCCGGTGACCCTTCCTCAGAACTGATAGTGGCTGGGAAAACGTCAGTTTATATGCAGAAAATAGGGAGGTGGGTGGGGTAGGCAGAAAAAGATCGGATAGAGCCCGAAGAGAGAGAAAGACAGTTGGACAGACAAAGGAGTTGCTAACGATCAGGCTGGGAGGGTGAGTAGTTGTTAATGGGGACTGTTAGTGACTAACAACAGGGGGTGTGTAATGGCAGGCTATGTGGTAACAAGGCCTGGTGAGTGGGGTACGTGGCTGGGACATGGGAGAGTTTAGGCCCTAAAATTATTGAACTCAATGTTGAGTCTGGAGGGCTGTAGGTTCCCCAAGCAGAAAATGAGGTGTTGTTCTTCCAGCTTGCACTGAGCTTCGCTGGAACACTGCAGCAAACCAGAGACAGAGATGTTTGCCAGGGAGCAGGATGGTGCGGTAAAGTGGCAGGTAACAGCCACTATCAGTTCTGAGGAAGGGTCACCGGACCCAAAAAGTTAACTCTGTTTTTTCCTTCACAGATGCTGCCAGACCTGCTGAGCTTTTCCAGCAACTTTGTTTTTGTTCCTGATTTACAGCATCTGCAGTTCTTCCGGTTTTTATCAGTATGGTGTACTTGCTTGTACTGGAAGCTACGTACATTAACACATAGGGCCCAGTTGTTTACACACTGAAACCACATGTACGGATATTGTTACAACTCAACAAAGTAAGTGGCAGCCATTTGCTGTTTTGTTTCCAAAGGCAATGCCTAATCAGGCTTAACCTGTCTGGTTTAAAATTTCACATGACACCAGGTTATAGTCCGACACGTTTATTTGAAATCACAAGCTTACACATACACGGTCTCTCTCCCAGACATACATACATACACACACATACGCACACGCACACACCGTTTCTCTCTCCCACACACACACATACACACACACACACAGACACACTCTCTCTCTCCCACACGCACACACACACATGCACACACACACACATACACACACACACATACAGTCTCTCTCTCCCACACACACACACACAAACACACACACACACTCTCTCTCCCACACGCACACACATATACACACACACGCACACAGTCTCTCTCTCCCACACACACACACTCTCTCTCTCCCACACGCGCACACACATACACACACGCACACACAGTCTCTCCCTCCCACACACACACACACATACACACACAC